TCTGAACCCCCCAATTTTAATAGAATGAATATTCAACCCCCCCCGATAAATATGTAAACCATGAACCCTTTAAATATGAACTTGTGAGTCCAAATAAAACCATTCCAGTTTCTTACCTCCCCTGGGATCATCTTAGCTTTAGTGACTCACTACACACACGTGCAGGTGGGCTCGGATGAATCCCAGGCTCCATGGTCTGTTCAGTAACTGCCTTGGAGCAACTCGTCCCTCCAGGAACTGACTCCCCGGGCTTGAATCTCTCCAGTCTCTGGTCCAGAAGTTCTGTCCCTCCCAACACCTGGCTCCAAAGCCCTGTATCTTCCTCAGCAGCTGCTCTGGCTCGATGTTGAGCAGCATTCACCCCCAGGCTCACCCACACAACGTGCACGTCCTCAGCTTTCTCCAGATGCCACCAGCCCATGGTGCACTCAGGTTGCTGCACTCAGAGCTGCCAGCCCCTCACCCAGGAAAAGGATTATGAATGGAGATTAACGAGGAGACAGGACAAACTACATTAACCAGGGGCAGGGTGTTGCCAGACAAGCACATTGACCATCCCTTGCTTGTGTGGAACTGGCCACTTTTATCCCCTTATCTCTCAAATTTCCCATTCCTGTTCCTCCCTAGCCACGTCAATCCCTCTCTTTCCCTGCTTTTGGTCCTTTCCCTAACCATCTGATCATTAATTTTTTACCATCCCAGGATGCTTTTCCCCTACAACCCTCCCTGCTCCCCACACCCCAAAGCAATAAACCCTCTTCCAGTCTGTTAGACATTCCAGGCCCTCTCCCATGGGTCCAACACTCTCCTAGGACAACCCTGGGAGCAGCTGAGGCTCATTTCCCTGATCAGATTATTTGGATTCCTCTGCATTTGTGGAAATCAACCTTTTCTATGTTTTTTTTTCATACCCAACCACCACCTTCTCTGCAGAAAATCCTGCAGCCACCAGCAGGTGATGCTGCCACTGAAGCAGCTCCTCAGCCCCTGACAAGGAGTAACAGGACTGAGGCTCTGTATCCACAGGCAAGGAGGGCTCTGCCTTAGAAGTAACAAAAGGATGTCCTAAATCTGCCTGTGTCAAAACACAAAAGAGTCTTAAGCTTTTATCTTTCAAATTCTCAATAATTTCTGCCAGTTGTTAAGCCGTAAGTACCTATTCTGGCCTGAGTGTGCTGTAAATAAAATGGCCATAAATTAATTTGCAGGCAGTCCTCTTTTGAAAGATATGTTTTAGGTGTGTTTTGTGCATAAGAAGGAGTTTAGGAACAGGGAGAAGCAGCTTTGGAACCCTCTTGTACTCAGGTGGGGGCAGTGCAAGCAACAGGAGGTTCACCTGGAAGCAGAGTTCTGGATATATGGGAAATTTTAGAGTCAGTCAGGGTTTAGAACTGTCCGGTGTGAAAAGCATTCCTCCTTTTGTATCATTGCCTTGGTACCTTCTGCTTCTTTTTTGCCACAATAGACCACGATTTTTGCATAAACATTAGAAAAATGTCATTCTTTAATGACATTTATGAAGCGCCACGGCCTGGGAAGACTCTCCAGAACAACTCTTGGCATTTTCTCACTGTCCACGTAAGCAGGACAAGGGATAAATAATTAAATGCATTATGAAAGTGCATTGGCTTGCTGGTGAAAAGGATTATAGCAACAACAAAAATTACAGTTGGGAATTGGGAAGTGGAATTAACAGAGCAAACCCACAGTAGTTGTTCTAACGACACCAACTTAGAAATGGCAAGGTCACTGGGAAGATTCTGTCCTTCCAGGAAGGTAAATAAATATGCAGTGTGATGGTAACTGCAGAAACAGGGATTCAAGCCTTTCCTGGGAGTTGGGGAGCATGTCTGGCTGCTGCAATTTAATAAAGTACATCTTCTCAACTCCTTTATTGGGATATTTATTTACTCACCATGAAAATTTCTGTTTCACTAGTAAAGGTGAAACAACACTGGGGACTCAGTGAGGGAAAATTATTCCTTGTGGAAGTCTGTGCGTGTGACATTAAACACTGAAAAAGAACCGACTTCCAGGGAAAGTGTAGCTTTTTTTTTGGACTGGGGGGATTTCTTCATGGAAAGCAGTGTATCCTGAACCAGCCAAATTTGAAGGTGCATGATCATCCTTTTGGGAGCACTCAAAGTGAATATCAGAATTCCTCACAGACTTCCATGGCTTTGATGGAGGGTGTGTCTGACAAAAGGGTAGAAGGTTATCAAGGCTGAAGAACAAAATGCAAAACCAGTTTCTTGTCTTGCTGTGTTCGATCTCAAATGCTCATTTTTCTCTTCAAAACCTTTTCAATCAGGTGTCTCCGTTGGCTCAGAGAGGATCCTGAAAATGAGGAGTGAGGCTCAAGGGTTAATGCCAAGGAAAACTGGAACATGTTTGAAACACTCAGGTTGGTGAGGTTATTTTTAATTAATTATTTTAGATTGGAAAAAATAGAAAAATCTGAATAAAAGCAAGGTTAAGGAATATGCAGGAATATTTCTCTCAGTGCTGTGGGGACACAGTAAATAGCTTGCAGTCATTTTTGTCTTGAAGAAACACAAAATTAATTCATGCTGATCTATTTCTCTAAACAAAAATAATTCCCATGAAAGTAGGTTACATTGATTACTGCGTGTTAAAATTATTAATTAAGAGTTTGATGGGGTTTCAGTTTGATTTTGGCGTCACAACATTATAAATCAGGCACAACCCCATTAACACTGATAGACTGGCTCTAGTTTAAATTGGTATGATGGAGGAAAGGAAATGTAAAGGCTCAGAGGAAAAATAATGTCCTTAACTGACACATATCTGGAGTCCTGTTTGCTGGATTGGCTCTTGATTTGCACCACCAGGGAATTGCAGTTCCTGTTTGGAATTATAATCAAATATGGAATAAAATAGTATTCCAGTAAAAGGGTTAAATTTCGTCCATCTGGAGATGCAAAAAAAAAATCTGCCTTTTTTTTTTTTCTGATATACAAATAAAAATAATTTGGATCATTTTCATGCATAATTAAAACATTTGTCTCATCTGGGGTCATCAGACCAGGAATTTTCATCTGGACCAGTCACCTTAACCTGTGCTCTGCATAATACTGAGTCCCACTCCCAATAATCCAGAGTATCTCAGCAGAATCAAACTGAAGTTGTGGGATCAAGTTCTAAAAGTTGATTTTTTTAAAAAAACCTATAATCAAACTAAATCAACATTTTTTTAAAAGTAATAGCCTATCTGTAACAGTTCTTGCTCCTCATTTAAGTCCCAAAAAGCTGTTTTAAAATAATATTGAACTGGGGACACTGCTCAGATCATGGGCTTTGGAGCCACCTGGTCTTGTGAAAGGTGCCCCTGCCCAGGGCAGGGGGTTGGAACTGGAAGAGCTTTAAGTTCCTCTCCAACCCAAACCATTCCATGATGTTATTTGGGGCAGATAATTATCTGCAAACCTTGAGAGCTCCGAGTGGGGAGGTTACAAAGAGTGGTGTCCTGGTCTCTGGTGCAACAAATGAGACGAGTGGGGGAAAAAAAAATTGGCCAGGACTAAAATGTGCTTGTCCACATGTTTCAAATAGCTGATTTAAAAGGTGTTTCTGTTAAAATGAGCTTGTTACAATAACATTTAGGAGTTCAAAGCAGTGATCATCATCTGCATGAGATGAGAAGATACTGGTTGTCTTGTAAGACATAGAGAAATTTTGGACTGGGGGGATTTCTTTGTGGAAAGGGTTGTTAAACACTGGAATGGACTGCCCAGGGAGGTGGTGGAGCCTCCATCCCTGGAGATGATCAAGGAATGACTGGACATGGCACTCTGCCATGGTCTAGTTGACAAGGGGATGATCAGTCAAAGGTGGACTCCAGAATCTCAAACCTGAATGACTCTGTGAGAAAGGTTAGATTCAAAATTAATAAAATATAGAATAAAAGCAGATGTATTTGTGTGAGAATCTTTTTTTTTTCCCCAAGATAATCAGGACAGGAGAAAAAGGTTCAAGAGTTTCCTGTGACCTGAGAGATGATTTAATTCTTCTTCTATTACCTGAAATATTAATGGTTAGCAAAGTTTCTGAATTTAGAGGAGCATCACAGTCACAGAGGGAGATCCATCCAGGAGGTGCAGGGCAGAAAAAGGAAATGGCAGGAAACAGAGGTAAGTGGGGACAAGGGGCAATGTGAGTGAGGCTTGGCCAAGAGGAACAGCTAAAGCAGGTGATTTCCAACAGGAAAAGCTTATGGAAACCAGTAACACCAAGAGAGCTTTACAATTTAAGTTCTTACCATTCAGCAAGTTACAAAATCCTTGACTGTGAGTTCAGGTTGCTACAAGAAGTAGAAAATAATTTTCCCCTTCAAATTGTGAGGGTTAGAACCTGTATTTTAAACTGGAATCCCATCCCTGCTGCTGCTTTCCTGACTGAAAGGTCACATCCAGGACCACTGGAGAAGGACATGATCTTTAGATACCCCAGGGCCTGCCTTCACAACTGCAGGAGGAAGCTGAAAATCCACCCTGGCTGTGTTTTCCTGGGTTGCTGGGAAGCCTGGCAGCAGCCCAGGAGTTAATAAAATCCCTCCGGGTCCTTGCTGGAGTGACAAGTCTGTAATGCAGCTGCAGCCAGCAGTGAAAGGGATAATGGTGTGTAGGCTGCTAAAGTAAGAGCTCTGCAAGGATTAAATTGGCTACACAGCTTCATTCCCACATCCCAGGAGTGAGGGGGTTTCATTGTTTAGAAAATGATGCTGTCTCTTCCCTGACAGCACTGGCTCTGGCAATCAGGCTTTAATGGGAAGCAATTTCCAAGTTTGTTTCTATCATGGGGCAGCTGGGAGAAATCAAGAGGTAGCTTATCCCTAATGGACCTTTTTTCCTGCCCAGGCTGATTGTACAGAAGAATTGAAATGGTTCATTTGACACACCACAAGCACATGGACAAAGCAGCCAAGAGTCCTGACATTCTCCCCAACGTGTTTTTCAAGCCGCTTTCCCTCCGACGGGCGGGTGAAGAGCTCTGGAGCAAAACTTCAATTACAGAGACAAACGACCACTGGTTGGGATTCCCAGGTAGGAGGTGTGTTATTGCCTCAGACTCTGAGGATTCCTGGGAGCCAGAGTTAATTATAACTCACAGCTATTTGGCCACGGTGGCTTAGGCAGAGCTGTGGATCCCCTGGGCTGTCTCATGACATCCTATCTCCTTTTTCCTCTGGGCAGTGGAGTGACGACTGTTCCAGTGAGCTGCTTGGAAGGATCAGAGCACAGATGTACCTTATATACCTTAAATTTTCGACCAGGTTTCCAGAAACTCCCGTTCTATTCTTGATAACAGCAGTGAGGCAGAAAACCCATCAGATGGAGCCATGCATATTTTAAGATTACCATTATCATAACTTCTGGGAAAACTTTCTAGTCCCAGGTACTCAGAATAATGTCATTATTAAGTTTCTAATATCCATTACTCACTTAAGAGCAGAAACTGGGATCAGATTATTTGCAACATCTTTCTTTGATCAGTAAAATCAGGCTGTAACCTTCATAAGGAATAATAAATACCTTATGTCCTCTTCCCCCTTGTCTTTCTTTTCCAAAGTACTGGATTATTAGTAGTCAGAGTTTGTCTGGTTTTTTTTTTAGCCTACTTGCTACTAAATAATGATAGGGATTAATTTGGGATTTTATTTAGTTAATTGGTCAATCATTGCCTGAGATATAGGAATCATAGAATATCCTGAGTTGGAAGGGACTCACAAGGATCCAAGTCCAGCTCCAAGCGACATTTCCAAAGTTTCTTAAGGAACAGATTTTTGCATCACCATCTATCACATCCATAGGAAATAATTTGGTTTTCCAAGGAAACACAGGCACGTCTCTTCTGTGACAAATTTTTCTAAGGCAGGTCAGATGCATGAAACAAAGGATGGAGATAAGATCACATGGAGCTTTTTTTATTTCTTTAAATATGTAAAATATAGTTATTAAAAAACCAACATAGAAACCCTCCAGTTAAGCAAACATTCCAGCTCTAAAGGAAGCCTGGTTGCCTCAGTGTTGCTGTGTAAACATTGGTTTAAGCAGTAACTGATGTGGGAAAGAATCGATTAATGCAAGACCAGACTGAATGACCACCTCAATTTGCAAAGAGAAGTAAGAATTAAATGGAGTTACACTGATTTGTGGTTGCTAAAGCTCCGGGTCTAAGTTTCCTACAGAGCAAATATCAGATAAACAAACATCAGCAGTTATAACTTGGGCTTTCTATTGCAGATTCATTATTTCTGTACTTTAAAACAATAAATATCAGCTTTCTGATAGCCCATGGTCTGAGTCACTCCCAACATTGAGTAAAATAAAATCTTAAATAGATCAACAACGTGATTTTTCCCCTATGGTTTCCAAAATATACCAGTGCTAATGCATAGAATAATACTCAGAATATCTGTATTGGAGCTCTATAAAAGCAATTACTGAGTAAGACAAGGAGGGTCCCCCCGTGACCTTCACAGACATTTATTTTAGTAAAGGCAGAACTCTATAGAACTATTCCTGTGCCAAAAAATGGTTTTGTAAAGAGAGTTTTCAAGATGCAGGCTCGATTTTTCTCTTCAAATCTCACCCTCAAGAGCAGTTTACAGCCTAATAATCACAGCATTCAACTGAAGCAAAACTCAAGTCAAATTCGGGGTGAAACAGGTTAAAATTGTGTTCTGTGGATTCAGAGGGGATTGAATCAGCATGTCCATGAACACAGGAACAGCAGCATCTTCCTTTCCTACATTTTTTAACAGATATGAAGAATTAAAAGGTAAAAGCGTTTGCCTAAATGCAAATGTCTGTGTGATATAAAGTTAATTTCTGACCCTGTGCTCCCCTCAAGGGAGATCTGATCAGCACCATCAGTGAAATCCGTGGCACAACTCACTTTACCAGAACACCTAAAAAGCCACGAAGAATCACTCTGGAATTGCTCCTTTGTTTCCAGGAGATTCCCAGGGGGAACATCTGAGCTGTGAACTGCAGGTATCTAAAGCCCAATGAGGTGAATATTACCTGCAGCATTAAAATCTCATGATTTGCTTTAACAAAGGGCTTTCCTCACTAGATCTGCACATGGTGGGCATTTATGTGTTCAACTTCCACACCCTAAAATGCCTAGAACTTGAAGGCTAAGGTAGCCATCAAGAATTTAACAGTTCATGAACATTTACTAGGATTTGACTGAGGACAAATGTCTCAAGGAGAAAGGAGAACCTTAATTCTAACTCCACTTAGGGTAAATTCGGAGAAAAACTGAGCTTTCCTCCCACACACCTGGAATTAGCTTGCACTGACATGGATCCTAGGAGGCAAACGGGGGGTTACCATGAGCCAGTTCCCAATATATTTGTGACCTCATAGTCCCAGTGTGCTCTATAGTGGAGGGAATCACCCAGTTCTACTTGAAATAGCCCTTTTTTGGCCCAACCAAGTAATACAAATTTTCCTTTCTTGTATTAGTGACTATGCTATATTTGAATCTTGGATTTATAATCTGCAAAGACTGTCAGATAAATTGATATAATTAAATGAATTCTCAGCAGAGGCCAGTTTTCTATGAATGCAAAATAGTGGCAATCACTGGAAAACCCATACCTGTTTATCTACTCTGTAATAAAAGTGACTGTGGGGGGGAAAAAAAAAATCCTTTGTTATTTTGTTTCTTCTAATCTCTTCTTTGCAATAATATCTTGTGTTCCAGGACTCCAACAGAGGCCTGGGAGAGAGCAACAAGAGCATCATTGATTTGGGATTTAGTGGATAATCCAGTCTGAATATCCTCCCTCTATAGGTGTCCCTTAGATCAGAAGTCTGTGTGTATATATATGATTAAAGACACAGGCTCTTCTGCCTTAATTCAACTTTCCCAACTGTGTATCCCAATCTACAGCAGGATGGGAAGGTTTATGAAATTTTGGGTGAATTTATGATGCAGATGGTGTCCCTGTCAAGGTAGAAGAGAACTGATCTCTGTGTTAAAAGGCTTTCCTGATGATCCTGGTATAAAAATAGAAGGAATACAGTGAGTCAGGCTTGCAATGTTGTTAACATGTCAAGTGTCACAGGAAAAACTGCTGTAAGCAAAAAAAAAAATTGATATGAAACTCCTTAAGAGTCCTGAACTATTACTTCAAGGATACAAGTTCCTTTATCCACAGAAAAAAGAGGAAAAAAATTTGCTTTTTAGAAGCATCTGGCTCTTTGTTTGATTGACAGAATTTGAGATGAATGTGATATTCAGTTTTCTCACAGATTTTTCATGCTTTATCATTCCAAATATTAGTTGTAAGTAGGAGCAGTTCACTTTTGTATTATTTTTTTTCCTTGGACCAAGGAGGGAAAAGTTGTACATATAAAAATCACTGACTTTTTAACCTCAGGGACCATTTTAACATCACAACACCAAAATCAAAGCGGAGCTGTTCTTCTTTTATACCTTTAATGTTTCGAGGAGGGTTAAATGTCATCACATAGTCACGAAGCAAAGGAAAAAGCAAACAGAAGAGACCAGACAGAGACAAAAAATAATACACTGGGAAGCATCATGAGAAGTTGCAGAACTCTCACACCTAGTGGTTAGAAAAAGAAATGCTAAGAAATTGGATTTTGGATTTAATGTTTCAGCAGAAACAGGAATTTCAAAGGCAGCAACCTAAGGAAATTTGAATTTTCAGTGACCAGCTGAAAAAGGCACAGGAATAATGCAATTACCCACAGAGATTCCTGATAATGGCAGTGTAGGATTGTATCCAACAGCACATTTTGCAAGACTTTTTCTTTGCCTTTCACGGGCTTTGTTGAAGAATTATCTTCACTTTGGTGGTCTGGGATGCAGGGCTCTGTATATTTTCTTAAAAATTATATCAGAGATGCAGAAGGAGTAAATGATCTTTGTCTCTAAACTTAATGCAGCCTCCCATTCCTTTTAACAAAGGTGGGTGTCCTTACTTTTTCCAAATCCAAATGAAGTGATTTTAAGGGGAATCCTGCCTCTTAAGTACCTCAGTCCTAAAATTAATCTTTGCTTGAGATCTCTTGAGACTGAGTTACTGTGTTCAAAAGCTGTGTGGATGTGACCCCTGGGGACATGGTTTAGTGGTGACCAAGGTGGTGCTGGGTTCATGTTGGACTCCATGATCTTAGAGGTCTTTTCCAACCTTAATTGTTCTGAAATTCTTTAATTTCAGACTCTGTGTCTCCATCTGTACTGGATCTAAAATGGGGCAGGGGCTGCTCTCCTTCAACATTCCAGCACAGCATAAATCCTTTCTCTCCCCTCAGGACACATCACCTCGTCCAAACAGCTTCTTGAAAATAACCAGTGGGTTTGTGCTAATTAATGTGAACAAATATAGGTGTTGCCTCAAATGTATGGCCAAAATCATGTCAAAAATGTAGTAATTCAGCTGCCTGGGGAATCAAACCTGCCAGTGTTTCAGCTCTGCCCTGATGCTGAAGAGTTTGCTGGGCTGAAATTGTGATATTTCATTTAAAAACTAATGGATGTTTCTGATCTTAGATTAAAAAAAAAAAAAAACCACAAAAAAACCCACAAACAAATAAAAAAACAACTACCTGCAAAAAAAGTAACAAACAAACAAAAAACCCCAAGCAACAAAAAACCAACCAACCAACCAACCAAAAAACGCACAAAAAAACCCCAAACTGAAGAAAGCTCAGTGAAATCAAAGACATTTATTGGACTAAGGCCTGTGCATTTATCTCAGAACATTATCAGTTACAGAAACCCAGACTGAAAAATTACAAGATTGTGTTAAAAAAATGCAAAAAAAAAAAATATAAACCCCCCAAAAAATTAAATTCCTTCAGAGTGGAAAAGGACATTGCAGGTTCCTGCATCTTTACTTAGTGCAGCTCCCCCAACAGTTAATAGACGTTAAGAGGCCTTTTTATTCCATTATTAGCTTGCTTAATGAAAAAAAAAACTGCAACAGTTCCAACCTGCAATTAAACACTGATCTCTCTCCACAAAGTACAACTTTCTTTAGAAAGTGCTGCCTGAATGCAACCATTTCATCCATCATCACAAATGACAACTCCTAGAGACATGTCAAAAAAAACAAAAAAAAAAAAACCAAACCAAAAAAGACAGGATGGATCCAGGCTCAGCCTGTTCTGTAACAACATAATTGACACAACCCGGAGGAAAAGGATTTTGTCAGACACTGTCAGCCCCAGCAGCTGCAGGGTCTCAATTTTCTCAAAATTATAAGGTTCCCTCTGAGTACTTTTTGTAACAGAGGGGAAAAAAATAATAATAAAAAAAAAAAAGTACCACCTAGAAACCAAAAGTTTTTTTATCAGGAATAAAAGATCCAATCAAACCTCCACCATTAACCCCACAATGAGGGTGATTTGCAGGAGGCATCAAAGCTTGATTTGTGCTTCACTCCTCAATTGCTGCAAACACGCAGCAAAGAGTGTCTTAAGGCAGAAGTTTGCAGCCTAAAAACACCAGTTGAGGCAAGATAAGGGATAAAAAAATGTGCTGACCGTCGTCAGATCAACAATAAACAGCTTTAAATAGTTAATAACTTCGGCTCCAGACCCAGTTGTAAACCCTGGTCCTGTTTTATCAAGGACAGAACAGCAATGGTAGCAAGTGGATGTAACACAGACAGGAGGGTTTGATTTCCACATCTCAAAATAGAAACAGCAATGAAGGCTTCCATATTATCCACGTCTCACCTCTTTGCTGCTTTCCACAAAATTACACTGTTTAGAACAAGTCAAGACAGTTGCCTCTTTTTTTTTTTTTTCCTTTCTTTAAATAGTTGGTTTAATTTGTTGGAGGCAACCTAAGAACTATTTGAGCTGTTCTGATCGTTCTGTTTAATCTTTACGGAATAAAAATTCAAGTTTCAGCAGAAGCTGCGACATAAAAACATCTACACCACAACCAGAATGGATTGTTTTAATTACTATGGAGGTCTGTGCACAGTATTTACCCCACTTTTTTTGTTTGTTTTTTTTTTTTTTTTGATTAGGGCAGGGTTTAGTAAATCACCTAAAAGATAAAGGCTAAACCAGCTGTTTAAACTAAACCAGTTGTCCAAAATCAAGGTAGGGAGACATTCACCTGCCTTTGAGACTCCTTATTTGGGATCAGTGACCCTCTGGGGTTCTCCATCAGGACTGGAGAGAGCTTAGATTGGCAACCTGGATTCTAAATGTCTATAAAAAAGACATATGGTCTTGGGGTAAAAGCTATTTTTTTGCTGATCCTGACACAACTCCAACTCAGCAGATATCCAATTTACTCTTTTTTTAAGGAATTCTCCTGTCCCCATGGTTCCACCTTCTACAAGGGAGGATAATGGTCTTCAAAGAGCTGTGGAGGAGGTTGGCTCTTGTCCTCTGTGTGAGTGGGGTTAGAAAACCTACCAGCTGAAGAGCAAAAAGGCCTGGGAACAGTCCACATTCCCAAACTGCATCACTGCTCTGCCTGAGAACTCAGACCTGGAAGCAAAAGGACAGGAGGGAAAGTTTTCTCTCTTCCCATGGAACTTCCTGGAGCGGAGAAGCTTTGACCAGGAAAGCTCCTCTTGATGATGTGAACTGGGAAAAGGGAGAGCTTGAGATGTTTCCCTGTGTTGCTTCTTTTTGAAGTAAAACTTTCTGAAGTTTTACTGCGTTGGTGCCGTGTCTAAAATTCATCACCCAGAGCAATTTCAAAGTGTGTGAGTAGAGCTGGGACAGTGATTAGTCTGAAAGTTCAGATTCAGTTCCTTTTAAGGGAATTACAGACACCACTCTGTGGAAATCAGCTGGGACCAGGTTCCTAAGAAAACATGCAGTGCTTTCTTATGCAGTATTAGAAGAATCCGAGTAACCAAAATGCTTAAATCCCATGTCCAAAATACTATTTTTTTAAAACAGAATTTATAGCCTTATTTCCAACAAATTCCAGGTAAATCTCCACTATTATGGCCCTTGAAAATCCAGTTACCTTTAAGAATCTGCCTCTTAATTGGCCTGTGGTGCCTAAATAGCTGAGTCAGAGAAACACAGAAGGTTGAACATTGCTTAATAGAAATTAATAAATCCAGGGTTTATCTCATGGGTTTCAGCCAACTGTAAAAGAGAGACTATATTATGTCCCTATCTCTTAAGGGAGCTGTCAAGATTAAAAAAAAAAAAGACTGAAATGCTCAGATCTTTCAATAATGGGGTCACGTAAGTGTCAGAATTAAATAAAGAAGAACTGACAGTGTTGA